GCAATCGATGTTTTTCAAAGACACATACAGCACCAATCTAAACAACGTTTAGGTTTTTATCAAAAATAGGCCGACTTTCGAAGTGCAATTGATGCAATAGTGCAATTTGTCTATGCTGCCCTGCAAAATGTCGATATTTAGTTAAGCAAATCAAAAGCTTTACTGTGTCCTCGCAACCATCGCAAACACGATGTCCTTTAAGCTGACGTTAACTTCTGGAAACTCATCCAAGAAATCTAAAAAGTGTATTTCTTTTTGAAAAAGCAATTAAAACAAAACCTTGAAATCGATCTTTTGTTCTGCATTGACACAAGTTTCCTGTTACAGCACGGGTAAAAATATTTGTACGGCCAGCCTTCTTTCCAACCCTCCTTGTTTTCCCACATCCGCGCGAAATAAGGCAAAACATTGTTTTCTATAGGAAAAAATAAAATCTATAGAAAAAACATTTTCGCGCGGACCTGTAGCCCCGGAAATCGAGCTGCCGGACTAGCGAATTACCGAGAACGAAACAAATGTTTAATCGGTTATTTTTCCATAACCACCTAACAAAACTCAGCAAGTCATAATATCTTTTGTCATAATATCTTTTGACTGTTAACAAGAGAAACCGCTACAGCAAGACACCAACCATACACCATTTAACCGGCACTTTCAGGTGAAAATATTTATCGCACCGAAAAAATCAATGTGATTAAAGTAACACAAAATAATATTGAAAAGTGATACAGCTTCATAAATGCATAAAATAATACAGCTTCAAACTTGCAAAATCAAGAAAAAACACATCGCTCCTTTCACTCTTCAAATCCATCTTCAAGTCCTTGATAGCCATCTTTGTCAATTGCTTCAGTCAATTTCTAAAACTTGAAAAGGTGAGTCACAAAACTTTTAAACTCACCTTGACCTTCGTCTCATATCGACGCAACTGAGGTATGATTTTCTCCGAAATCGTCTCAAAGTCCTCTCTCAGCTTCCTAAACCGGATTATTAAGCATTCAAAGAAAGAAACTTACGCGCATTTTCCAAGTGTCTTCTTTGCTTCTCCAAATGTCGAAATGCTCTTACAGTTTTCTTCTTTCAAAGTCAATTTCTAAAAAAAGCTCCATATTAACATAATTCGAAACAAGTATACCGTTCCAAAAGCCTCCAGATCCGTCAAAATATTCTCGTGCATTACTGCAAACAAATCGTTGTACGTTTTCACCACCTTGGTCGTATCTTTCTGTTGAGCCTCGGACATTTCACAAAGCTAGATACATCATTTTTATTTGCTAACTCTAAACTCACTTCTTTCTTCAAAAGTCGCGTTGTCTCATGAGATCGATGCTCCTCAATAAGGCAAACTGGACAAATCTAAACGGGAAATCTATTTGTCAATTAACCCACTAACCTTCAAATCGCATTCATTACAGAGATACATCTCGTCAATACTGCGCTGGAAGTTGACTTTATTAATTTAATCTTTCAAACTATACCGTCTTCTTGCAATCATCACAAACACCAGTATTCCTCATTCCTTCCATTTGACATGTCATCATTGGCAATTCATTCAGGAAATCTAACGGATGAAAGTTCTTTTAAATTATAGCAATTACTTTGAAATCGATCAACCGCCCAATCATCATTGGAAATGGAATCTTCGTTACAAATTGGGCAAGTAAACCGGTGGGCCCATTCCTTTGTTTCCGGATTCGTGTTTGGTGTGCGATTCTTCAGATAACATTCCGTACAGATAAGGTGATTGCAAAAGAGTGCAAACGATTTCTTTCCGTCAACTTGATTCGAATCTAAATTAAACATAAATGTTCAACCAAAATGAATACTTTATTCCCCAAATAAACAATGAAACACTTACATTCATCATGACAAATTGGACATTCGGGAATTTTGAAGGGCTAAACGAAACTGATCTACATAAAGAGCAAGAAAGACCTTGACAAGCAAATAACCATCTCCCAAAGGTGAAAGTGCCAAGGAATCTTCTTGTGATAGAACATCTAAATCGGAAACACAAGTAAATAACATTCTTTTATCTTTAAAAAGCTGCGCCGTGTCTACTTTAAACAAGCAAATTCACTTACCAACCAGGTAAAATGCAAAATCGAGACTGTCAAAGCAGTCTTCCCCCCAAACACATTGATGTTTCCTCTCCTTTTTCTCCAACCGCCACTCCTTCTCGAAACATTCGTGACACATCGCCGATCCGCACACTAAATGTCGCGGTGATCGATTCTCGTTGGCTTCTCGAGCAACTGAAAGTAACAAATTAACGCAGTGCACTTAGGCATGTGGTATACCATAGAATTAAATAAAACGCATAACTTACATGGCAACTTGCAGACAACGCAGTTGAGAGACCGAAAGACTTTCATTTCCTGAAAAGAAACAATGGTCAGGGTACTTCCTGAGTAGCGGGGGCGGACAATTTTTTCAAAATCTACTTTTTCTGGACCAGTTTTTCATGCTGATTCCGGATTTCGACATCCCAAGCCCGGAAAATGCGATTTTATCATCCAAAACAATTTTTTTAAAAAAGCATTTTTTCAGGGGTTTGCCCCTTTTTCGATGCAAATTTTCTGTTCCGATTCAGATGTATTTAAAATGAATGAAAAAGTAGAGTTCGAAAAACAATTGGCCTATTAACAAACAACAATGGCTTAATGTTCTAAAAAAGATGCAGACGAAAAAGAGAATGAAATTTTGCCCACTTTCTAGCCTTTCATAGAAAATTAAACAAACATTGAATACTCAGTTAAATGATTGAATACTTTCCGACACATTTTCATTTTGAAAGGTACGGTGTTTCTTAGGTGCAATTTAGGAAATGTTTTTTTGTTGTTTTTTGTGAAGCAGCTTGTGGGGAAACAATGACGGTTGGAAAGAATATCGACATTTTGCAGGGCAGCATAGACAAATTGTACTATTGCATCAATCGAACTTCGAAAGTCGGCCTATTTCTGATGAAAACCTAACCGTTGCTTAGATTTGTGCTGTATGTGTCGTTGAAAAACATCGATTGCATGAGACAGCTCGACTGTTGAAAAGGGAAAGATGTTGGAGATTATATTGTTATTTATTTAGATCTGACCACATTTTTCAAAAATCGCCAAAGCTTCAAATGCGTTTCTACAAAGATCTACAAATAGAGGAGTAAAAATAAAAATCCCCTAACTTTTCAAGGTCGCGTTTTGTAGATAGGTCACATACCCCGGGTCGATTCCGAGTTAGAACAGTTCCCTAGTTAAGTGCAATTTAGGAAATGTTTTTGTTCTTTATTGTTTAGGCAGCAAGTTTTGTTCGTGGAAGTTTACTTTGGCTTGAAAAGCGGAAAAATTTTCTCTTCTGGTGCATCCGTTTTTCCTCGACAACCACAACCTCAAGATTAGCCTCGTAAATTTAAATGGTCTTCGGCAAATTTAAACTTCTATAGCGTACAGTGACGTGAATGGTATAAAATGGGTTCCTCTCCTCGGAATCGATTTCAGTTGCTTACATTGAATGAATCTCACAATGTATGAAATATGTATGAAAGCTTGCTACAGTACCTAAATTGACAATAGATTACGCCTTAACTAATTTCACTAAAAAGAGGACAAAACGGAAAAGAGCGACGTTTGAAAGCTTTCTACACAAAAAGAACTTTGACGGCTAAACTTTAAATAAGAAATGACGCTAAATTAAATAAGAAATCTCGAATAAAGAAGTTCGACTTGAAGTAGACGACGAGCACGTGCTCGCCAGAGAACAAATTCAGAAGAAAAGCAAGAAGAGAATCGACGAGGAGATGTTCATCAAGGAGTTCAATAACATCTAGGTAAAAAGGTTTTGAAATAGATTCAAGCCAAGAAAATGAGCGAATCAATTCAAATTCACACCACGAGGCCTCAAATTTAGTACGTTTGCAAAAGCTGTCCAATATCAGTCTCCGTACGCAATTCTAACATTAAATGGAACTCGATTGATGAAAAAGTCCACCTCTACACGACACTGAAAACACAAAGCCACGGCAAAGAAGTGGCAAAAGAGACTGCAAAACTGGAGTGGTACAAAAGTGAGCTTCTAGACTCAGCAAGAAGATCTGAGCCGCAAAAAAAGCCAGACGGCGTTCATCAAATACTCCAAAAAAAGCCTCGGTGCCAGTAATCAAATAATCTAGGCTGGCAATTTAAATTAAATTTATTGAAATAAAAAATGAACACTCCGTTTGATAAAAGTGTTTTGAACACGTAAACGAATAAAAAACCAACACGATATTTAACAAAGGACAAAATACTTTAGAAACTTGAAAAACAATTAGTCAAAGAGAACTCGACTCGATTAGGCTAAAAAATCACAAAGATTTTGATGTATCAATGCTATTATAATGGTTGATGAAGATCGACAAATTTATTCAGGAGAAGAGCATTCAGTCATCGTAGAGGATCGGCTGAAAATAATGATTTGAATCATTCACCGTCTAGCTAGATAACGCCCGATTTGTGTCACTCATTCTGAAACTCACATTTCCATGTGGGACTCCTTTGATGACTTTATCACAGAAGAGAAGATGTCCCTTACATCCATCTTCCACACACAACGCCTTCTTCCAATCTTAAACCATTCAACTTTTTCGAAACGCATTATATTTCCTCTCCACTCACCTTTCTTTTTGTTCCATCCTGACTTGGGATTTATTCTTGAGAGCCTTGACAAAACATTGCTCACAAGGGAAACAGTTAAATTTGGGGATCCTGTGATTGTATCTAAGCCGTAAGATTTGAGTTGAGGAAGGAGTAAAATCAAATACCAAAAAGAATTGGGGAACTGTTGCTTAGGGGAACTCTTTTTCACAAGTGACACATGGTTTCTGGGTGAGCTCAGCTTGTGGGATTGATTTTGTGGGTGGAGGTGACGGGGCTGTGAGAAGAGGCTCGGGGGTCCACGGGGTGGAACGGAATCTGAATAATTAAAGTTAAGAGCAGCTTTACTATGTGGATTTGGGAAATTTTTAAAACATTGGCAATGTTCTGTTTCTTTTGTAGTTGAGTTGCTCAATTCACTTCACTTTTGTCGATCCTTGTAAAGGTTTCGCCATTGGCTTCTTCTTGACCTCTTCTCTGAAAACAAGAAAAGTGCTATGTATCATTGCTATAATTTGAACATTTAGTTGTTATACTCTGGATGGTTTCTCATCATTTGAGCTCGTTGTGGGCAAACTTGTCGATGGCTTCGATCTTGCCCACTTGTTCTCTGGGGTGGGCCAGGCTATTGATATAGAAACCGGTACCTTCAGAACTTTATTTTGTTCATCAATTTCAAATACGGCCCACTAGAGCTCCCAGCAGATGATGATTGTAAAGAAGAGAGCAGTGACAATCGGCGAGACACTTTACCGACACATGCTCTTCGGAAGTTACAATTATAAGAATTGCAAAGTTTTAGGGTTTTACTAAAACGAATACGCACCTTCTCGAGTCGTTCCATAGCCATGCCAGCCGTGGCAAACCGTCGATTCCAGTAAATATAGTTTTCCCTGTTACTGGTAGCCGCCTCATATTTCGAAATGATATAATCGAGTAGATCCTCCTTCAAGACGTTTGTCAAATATTTAATGGCAACTAAAAAATAATTAAAAGCATTTTTTCGAACAAACCTTTGACTGGCGGTTGAGAGTTCTTCTCACAATTCATCGATTCTCTTAATCACTTTTGATGTAGCGTTCATGTTTCGCCCAATCGTTCCTCGAGCCACCGGAGTTTCCTCAAAAATCGCCAAGGCTTTTTTTGTCGGTGAGAAGATCGACGACACAAAGTTATGAACATTTGGTTGTGGGATCCTCATACAACCCCTTTTGGCACATCCAACGTCGATGTTATTCCGAAAAAAACAATAATCATTACAGGCTTCACGCTGAATTTTCACTTTTACAAAAGCTTTATCAATTCTAAAATTGATTCCAATCACCTTGTCCTTCCAGAAGCGAAATTTCCCAAACCAAGAAAGCCACGGAGAAGCTGGTTAGCGAACGGAAAAAGCGCAGCTCGGATCTAATGAGATAGATCGGATAAAGCTGAAACACGCTTTAAACCTAACACGATACTCATAATATACCTTCCGTTTCCATTTCGATGTATTGCTTGGTGAACGCTTTCGAAACGATCAGTCCATAGAACGAAATGAGAGATGTCACTGATCAGCTCATCGATTCGTTGGTAGAAAAGTTTGAGGAGAGTTTCGTCAAACAAATGATCCAGCTTGACGGCTTTTAAATATATAATCAACTACAATCAGCTTTTTAACAGTAATAAAATGTCGAACAAAGAGTTTTTTGGAGTTGATGCATGAGCAATTGTGCCTCGTCGTTCTGTTCGTTTGCACCGATCACAATTCCGATTCCAATTCATCGGATAACTTTTGTTCAGTTGCTTCAATGTTTCTCTTCCGAGGAAATCTTTCCAAAAGTTTGTGATTCCCATTGCGCAAGTGGCAATTTTTGATTCTGGAAAACGTTCAACCCGTTTCTCTTTAAAAACTTTAAAATACCGGTTATCGTCAACCGTTTCGCTTCTGATATAAAGGTAGCCTTGGATGTAATGTTTGATCAAATGGACTTCTTGAATGACGATAGTAATTTGTGTTCTCAAAAAGAAACTGATTTTTTTTCGAAATTGAAATGAAAAATAAGCAGAAAATAAAAACACACGAAGCTTGACCCCTCTTGTTCTGATCTCGCCCACGTTTTGTCCTGTAAATTGCAGATTTAACACTACCCCTTTTTTCGATTACCCCATTTGTTCGAAAAGATCCCAACTAAAAGCCAATAAGAGCTTGGGTCATTGTGAACATAGCGAAGTGAAGATGTGGATCATTCGGTCGAGATCGTTCTTTTCGAAAGTTGATGAGTGCTAGCTGAAATTCTGTAACAACTTCAAAAATTAAGAAAGAAATAAAACTTCAATAAAACCAACGTTTCAAACATCCCAATCGTCTCATGGCCAATTTGACCTCATCAAATCGACCACTCCAATAGTTGAACAGATTGACATCGCTGACCGCCCCCTCGTATTATTCGTCAGGTATTGAGTGTCCGCTTACCGGATTGCCTTGATCAGAAAGGCATGATATTGCAAGCAAAAGCTCGTTGGCTAAAAAACTTCATTCATGTCAAAGAAACTATTCGTAATTTCTTGGATTTCCTTTGCTACAAGCTACAAGGCTCCGAAAGGTTTGTAAGCGCATTATTCCAACCTTTAACTCATCAAAAGCAAAAATTTCCGCAAGATTTTTCGGTTTCCCGTAAAACAATTGATAATACTTTTTTTACATCAAGGCACCAACTTTGTTATCAGTTGCTCTTGCATTGACGAGCATCCTGTGTAGAGCATTCCACTGT